TCATTTTTATTTAAGCAGTGCCTTAAAATTTTTTTTTATACCATCTTATATTCTAAAAATAATGCCCTGCTTAATTACATATATAAATATAAAATAAAATGTTATCACATTTGTTTTAAGAATTTTTCAATTGACAAGAGAATGCTTCGGTTGTTTTTATGTCTTTATAAATAATTCCTGTAATTTCAACACATAGTAACTCAGACATTTATTACAATTATCGAGACAAAGTCGTACAACTTGAAAATGTAGGATATTCGTTTTTATTAAGCAGTGCCTTAATTAAGATGGTAAAACATTTATATAACAAGATAAAGTACATGATAATAATTATATTGAAGTCTTGTCCTTCTTGATATGCTTTAACGTTGTTTATTTCTGAAACTTATGTTAAAATCGGTGCTGGGGTGCTAAGAGACCGTGCACCTATAACTTTCTCTTACGTTTTTGACATATTGCCTGAATGAAGCAAAAGGAAAATATGACCATAATACAAAAAAAAACAATAAGTTAAATATATCATTGTTATAGATGATTGTCGTTCTTCTAAGACAGATGCACTTCCTTTCACCTCCTTATAATTACAAATGAGTTTAATTATTTAAACCTGGAAATTCAATACAAATGTGTTAAAATAGATCACTTTAAGATGATATTCGTAAGTCGACAAAAGTTGGTTTATTTTTTTTATCTAATCACGGGTACAAACAAACTTAAACCATTGTAGATTCATGGTGCACATACGTTCTCAATTGAAAGGTCAACGTGCTGTGTTTCTTAACTATATATATTTACCAAAATTATAGAGTAAAAAATATTCGTACCGTGGTATTAGCTGGGACATAACCCGCATTTGCAATGATTCAGAGTATATCTATCCCTAACCAATTATTTATTTGCATTAGAAAAACTGTTTCAGTACAGGTATGAAGGGCATATATTATTTTAGTTATAAAGATTTCTTGACAGGCATTATATAATTTGTTGATCGGCTCGGGTTATAACAACCGTTGATATACGGCCATATAACCTGTCAGGAATATCTATAATGAATTTATAATACACCAAACTTCCTTTCTTAGAAAAAAATGCTGAGATTTTTTCATTATTTCACAACAGCCGCCGTGTACATTATATTTCATTATATGCAGCTCTAGGAAGCACAATGTATGTAAATAGATGGTAGGCACCCCATAAAGGGACAATGGCCTCTTCAACAGTATATTGCATTCTTATTCGATACATGATCTTAAAGTTATCACTATTACCATGTTAAAGATATTTCTAACAAAGACATTGTTTAAACAGTCTTTCATATGATTCGTAGCAGATAAATCGATCAATTAGTTTGCTAAACATACTATTTATTATCGGTCCACTGAATACTTCTTGAAATCTCTCTGTATATATCAAGAAAATCATATTTATTTCCTTTGAATAACTTATCATACCAATTATACGGATTATTTCATAGAACAAATGTTGTTGAAACTTTTCTCATTTGCATTGAACTTACATGTAAAAATGTTTTTGAAAACATCCGTGTAGAACTATCATACACATAGCTAAAAGGCCAATGAACCCTAAAAATTCCATCATTTTTATTGTTCAAAAACCTTTTAGTTTTGGCTTTCAAGTAGTTATTAATTGGCTATATAACTGAGCCATATTCTGTTTTCTAACGTTTTGGAAATTAATACACTTTATAGTGATTTGTATTTTGCATGGAAATCAAAATACAACTTTGTTTACAGTTTGCTACCTTGATCACAAATTCAACTCAACTTCCCTCAGGTGACAATCATCTCTTTTACTTTACTCCATTTTAAAAACATTATAAAACACATATTTGGAATTTCTATAGATGTTACCATTTAAACATTTCTGAAGCAAAGTGTGTTTTAATCAATACGATATTCTAAAGATATGGCCTACCACGAACCACAAATAACTCAAAAGCTCGTTCAAATATATTCTGGACTCCGCTAAGATGTGTATGACAATCTGATATTTGTTCAAGAAAGAGTGTTGTTAATGGATTTCACATCATCGACACATAAATTGTTTCTTATAACCTCTTCAGAGAATTATACCATCACCTTTTGTTGTCGATCACTCAAAATAACACTCATGCGGTAGACATTTATTATAATCAGCAAAGCTGTCAGAATTTCTCTTTAGCTTACGCTTCTATTCTAAATTGGTTATATGAAACGCAGATTTCGTAATTATTAAATTAAAATGTAGCTTACAACAGCAAGACACATTCAACAGTTACTGTTAATTTTTAACTTAAATATGCATGTATGTGCTAATTACTCCAGTTCCGCCCCTGCTGCTTATTTTACATGTAAACAATTATATATAAACGCCCATCAAGTTTAATAAAGAGTTAAAGACTGCTTTAATCTTAACGCACATATTGTTACCTCGGATTTACATATGATATAGCTATCGTATAATTTGACAAACGTACACACAAATATAACTCAATTACTGTTATTTGTGTATTGGTGGTAAGCTATACAAAAGTTTACGTTAAGGTGTATAAATATTATTAGAACTTCTTTACGTGTAAGTAATAGCAAGAAAGTCTGTATCTGATTATAAAATTCATCATTATGACCAGAATATGTATAATCATCTAACAATGTAAGAAGTAAGAAAACCGCTTTTGAAACGACCTTCTTTTCGAAGCTTCATAGGGAAAAAGAATTACATAAAATCGTACAATCAAAGAAGCGAATAAATATAATGTTTTCTGAAGTCAACATTGTTGTGAATACCGTATAAATTGCATTCATTTACAAATGTAAATAGAATAGACTAAATTTACAAGCACAACAAGATTTATTCTAGTCGTATAAAATACCTTTCTGAAATTCTACTTAACACAGCATCAATATGGTAAAAGTGGTAAGTTTGTTCAATAGTATGTGTATAATGTCATAAATATTGCAGGTAGCTGTTTGAATATGGAGATAACATTATTGGCACAAATATTTCATTCGGTTTGATGGTGTATAATCAAAAGGGAAAACATCATAATCTAGAATGATTTAACATGTTTGATATGATGTAGTTACAATGAGCCCTGATTTTATTTTCACCCTTACCTTTGTTGTCTCATTACAAAAATATGTTGAAATTCTTTACTGATGTCCTTTATCACAACATGTGCCCTTCATTTATTTTCATTAGATAATCTTATAATTCATAAATTCAACATTTTTTTAAAATACTCAATAAATCAATATAATAAAATATTATTGTTGATAAACTATAAGATCAGTACAAGCTTTAATTATCATATTATTTTCCTGCTTAAATTTTATTGAATATATTTTAAACAATAATGTCAATATCAACATGTTTTACTGTACCAATTTGAAATGAACAAGGGTTTGTTTTTACTTATATTTGCCTTATGATTAAGTATAAATCTGGCGACGATAAGGTTGATGCGAATGTATTTAGGTTCGATTGTGTATAGAGCTAGAAGCTTATTAAAACACACTCGAGTCTGTCCCTTTAACCAAGCAGTACTTAGCAACGTGTGTAAACTTTCGTGCTCAAAAAACAACGTCATGGCCCTGACGGGATTTCAATAACACGCAGCCAGCAATCCTTTGTCCACTAGTCCGAAGATTGGCACTGTAACTTCTTTAACATCAAGCCATAGAGAAGCGAGTTAAAAGGTTCGATGAAAATATTGACATTTTAAATTATTGTAATTGTTATATTACTGCTGGTTACTTGCATACATGCATGCATGCACACACATTGATCTTGATTGTGTCGTCACAAACCAATGTTTGATTTCCATTAACTCGTATAGTTACATTGATAATGCAATACAATTAACAACTCATCAATTTCATAACATTTTCCTTTCATTAATGTTTGCATTTCCTTTTGTTCAATAAATTATAATTATAAAAAATTATTTTATTTGATCAACGTCAAATTGTTGACATATAAATACTGGTTGGGGAGATAAACTCGGCCGAAAATCAGTGTTTTAGGCATATATTTTATTTATTTGTTTACGTATTCTGATGAATCTTGCACCATAATAAACTTCAGCGCTTCGATTTTCCGGTATCACCATAAAAGTTATATTTAGAAACATAACGGGTAATTTTGAGAGGCCCTGGAAGAGTTATGTAAAAAGGATATTTTAAACGCGTGCGAGTAAATAATTCCGGCTCTTTGTTTTTCTTCTTAATAAATGAGTAAGTTAAAACGTAAAATAACATGTTAAGACATTTAATTATTTCTTTGCTGTTTATTTATGCCAAATAAAAAATATTGTTACCAAAATTGTTGAGTATTACGTTAATATAATTAATATCTATGATAACACGACATCTATATGCAACGTTCTATGTTACATATAAATCATTTTTACGTAAAAACACATGCATTATCATTTATTAACGAAATATGTAGTTAAAGAATTAGTGATTCAAATTTATTATTGCTTAGCTTAACAGAGTGAAGAAGAAATTAATTTAGTGGTATTCAACCTACACATTAACATATAAAAGGAGCATTTAACATCAGTCTTTCAATCCATTCCACTTAAAGATTACAATTGTGTAATCAGCCTTTTTTCTGAGTTAGCAAGATAAAAGTGAGTCTGAATTTCATTTACAAAATGTATACATAAACTTCGTCTGCTTTACCGGTAGTCGGTCAATATATATAAGTACCCCTGTGCGGGCCTCAAAATGAGCATCTGCTGCACGTGCGCACAACAGTGAGATTCCCGTACTTTTTATAGGCATGTTTTGTAAACAAACATGTAAAAGTCTGTGTTATTTTTTAAGTATCTTACCAAACTTGACAAAATTTCCACATATTGTCGAATTCCAGCGATAGTATAAGATAGTGAGCTTGATTAGATTAAAATTTCCGATAACTCGATTTAATTATAAAAAGCCGAGTTTATCAACCAGCCGAAGTTATCTCCCCAACCAGTACAGATATATGTGACAGATTAGTATAATTTAATTTCTTTCAATACAACAAACCAAACAAACAGGTTTATCTGACTGAAAACATTTAAGTGCAACTTTCAGCATAATGCATGGTGGAAGTGATTATTTCTTCCATCATATCAAGTACTATCGATATGATACGCAAATCTGTTCCTAAAACTTTATCTGTAAATGTTTACATTGTTATTTAACATTTGACATTTTCACGCATGTGGGGAGAAAGGTGGAAACACATATTCAACATAAATATCACATAAGTGTTAGAATCCTCAGAAAAAAGGAATTTTTTCCAGTAATAGTATAATTTAACAGGTCCTGATATATGTATCTTTTAGTTACAGGTATTCTAATCATAAATATATCTGACACAACATTCAAATGTAATTTATTTATCTTTCAAACACGCAAGCAGTAATGTAAGAAATTCTGGCACCAATTTATCTGATAGGGAAGAAATTTAATTTAATAATGCCATTTAAATTTTTATCAGAGACACACAATTTAAAGGTGAACATTGTCAATAACCTGTATCCCATGTCAAGAGTTCAGATTTTACAAATATATCTAAAGGTATTGCAGCTCAGAATTCAACTTTTATACTAAATTCATCATCACTATATTGAACATATATAAATACGTGAAAATTTCAAAACTAGATTTTGCAGTTTTTTAAACAATCAACATTCAAAGCAAAGAAAAAATCAATTTTATTTGTTGTTATCAAAACATGAATCAAGCTTGTTAGGAAATGATATACATATTATTTTACTTCATGTCCGCACTATATAAACTTTGGAATAAAACAATCATCATTCGATTAACTTTTTTTACTTTATGTCCGCACTATATATACTTTGGAATAAACAATAATTATTCAATAAACTTCCGAAGCAATCTTCACCATGCAGATGAAAAGAAGTGATGATATTGTACAACATTTATCTACGACGTAAAAGCTTTATTAACATATTACAAAGCATCTTTCATTTAAAATAAATAAGCAAGCATTGAATAAAATGGCTGAAATTGACAATGTACAAACAAAAAGTTATCTTAGTAACTAAATAATTAAAAATAAAGTTAACATTGGCTTCTTTGCATTTTATATTACCAAGTCTAAAAAACGTTCCCATTTACAAAAACAATGTTTCAAACAAAGGTAAGGGTGATAAAAATCTTTTAATTTATAGACTTGATTTTCATTAAAAGTCTTTTAAAACGTTTGTTTTCTCCAAGGAAACGTCCTACAATATTTATATGCTTAATAATTTTATCATAAACAAACTAATATGTACATGGACATATTAAAGATACATAAACGAAAGATTCAGTATACGCAAAATTCACTACTTCAAGGTAACTGCTTCAGTACACTTCGAAAATCCTACTGATGTCGCTAGTGCACTATTACCGTTTCCATTGTCTGCATTATCCCCGCCTTTCCGTTTAAAACAACAAGTTAGTTTCTTGAGTAGCAACTTTGTTTCTTTACGAAATCTATGGTCCCAAAAGCTGTATATGATTGGATTGGCTACGTTATTAACAAGATATAATCTTAACATGAAATCAAGAAATACAGATTCTATAATACCACGATCTGCCCAGAAGTCTTCATCTGTTGAATCTAAGATTGAAATTATAATAAACGGAAGATAAGAAATAATGAATACTACTGTAATAGTCAACATCATTAAAGTTATCTTCATAGTATTCTTCTCTACCGCTTTAGATCCCGGTCTTACGTGACGAACCATTGCACAACTATTTCGTGCAGCTCCTTTGGAATTTTGATTGCCACTTATATCATTAAGTTTTGACTTCAAAAGTTCCCCCTCTCCATTTTCTATCTCCGATTCCTTTACAACACATTGGGGATCTTTATCCGTCTCGTCAATGTCATCAGCTTTGCCTGTATCCATACCACTTGTACCATTTTTACCTGTCGATTCATCATCTTGACTCGGTACAGCACAACAAAAACAAAATGTTTTTGTCTTTTCTAAGGTAATCTCCCCCGACATTCGATCATGGTGGTAAATCTTTCGGCAAATAAATCCATATATTATGATTAGAAATATCACCGACATCACAAAAACTAACAAGTTTAACCCTAGGTAGCCAACAGCTAACTCTGAGCCTTGATACCCGTCAGAAATAAAACATTCCACGCCGGTAAGATTGTCAAGTTTGGTCGGTACAGTACTTTGTCCGTATATAATACCATGAGGAAAAGATATCACTATGGCAACGAAACTAGCCAGTAGACATGCTTTTCTGTCGCCAAAATCTTTTATTTGTCTCTTCAAAGGTCTGCAAACCTTTAAATATCTATCCAGTCCAACCACAAGAAGAATAAATACCGAACTAAGCGTACAAGCTCCAATTAAGAAACTCAATATTCTGCACACGTTCGTATGAGTGTATGTTAAAATAAGTGTCAAGTCCAAAACATGGTATGGTATTCCAACCACGCTTACACTTAGATCTGCAATAGCTAGACTAAGAATGTAACATCTTGCACTTGATCTTGTAAATTTCCTTTTATAAATTATAAGGACAAGAATATTTCCCACAATTCCAATGAACATTATTAGTACGAGGATAACAGTTAACGGCAAATAGTTTGATCTTTGAAGTTGTTCAAGTTCCTCTATAGTTATATTCTTTTTCGTCTCCATTTTTGGTTGTTTAGGTCAGTTATAAAAACATAAAAAATTTAAAGTAGTTTACATTTTATATGTCAACTTTATGTAGATATATTTTGAAAATTTCACCTTTTTTCAAAGTGTTGATTTTTTCCTCAAATACAATAATATATCGCATGTGTCTTGTCATCATTACATTTGTGCTTTCCTTTTAACACATTTTCCTATGTGCCTATTCTTTCTGGAAATAGAAAAAAAATCAGTTATTTTTAAAACTTTATCTGTATTGAAAACACTTCGTCGTTAGTAAGAATAATAAAAATATGCATATTCCTGTTCTGAAATTCAATCGAAAGAATCAAATTTATCTGTTATTATTAAACACTTCGTTGGAATATCAGTTATCTGCAGATGTAAAGATCGTAAGAAAAGTTGTTCAGTTAACTATTACCTTATATTTAATCATCGTTACCAATGTACACCATAACTGTTCCATATCTAACGTTTATCTCATTTCTTACATTAATCTCGAATTAAAGGTTAGAGTAAAGATGATTTAATGCAAGGAACTTTAAAGAAAGACAAAAAGTGCTTCATAGTTTTTCATATAGTATAGATTTATCGTTCGGTCACTTTTATTAAATCAAATGTACTTTGAAGTTTTATTCTTTGCAAAGGAAGTATAACTTACATTTTTTTTGTAAATTCATTATTCTGGACTTATTTTTTTATTTTTAATTATTTTACAAGTGTTAAGTAAATGCAGTAGTTTCTCCAAGAAGATATTTGACAGTCATACAACAGTCTTGTTATTAAAACGTTATGAAGAATCAGGATTTATCCAAACAGAGCATTTGTATTATCACAAATCTTGTGTAATTGTTTATATTTCCTGGCTAAATCTGAACATTTAAAAAAAAATTGAAAGCCAGTGAATCTTCTGTTTCTGTATAACAGGTAATGGTAGAAATGTAAATGAGTTAATTCAGAACTAGCCGAGTTTTGTCGCTTAACATGGTTACAAATATGTCGTAGCAAAATACGATCACACTGTTTGGTATAAATCTAGATTGTCAGAATCAAATTGTATTTCTAAATAGCCCAAAGAAAGATTACAATTCTTGTAATATTGGATTTTGATAAAATTGTTATTAGCTTGAATAACATGGTAAAATTATATCTAGAAACACTATATTGAACTTGATGTTGTTTTGAAAATTATTTATATGTTATTGTGAGATTTGATATGTCAAATAGTTTAGATAGTGTAAGGTTAAACAGTTCTCATAAATTGTGTGGACAACTATATATATTACATGTACTTAAATGTTTCTTGAGAATGGCTCAGTTGAAGATTATCTTGCAAAATTATTTGTCAATAAAATAATATATGTTTTTTTTTTCATTTTACCTGAAAATTACTCAACTGTCTCATTTCCGTATTCAGAGGATGATAATGATTTTTCAAAATGTCCAACTTTAAAACGTGTGTTATAGCATTTTATATGTAAGTAAAAAGCACTGTGTGTAGGGATTACTATCTTGATAAAATTGAACAAGGCACTTACAAACCTGGCTTAGCTATTCTGAAAATTTGTTTAATAGGATACAAAAAGAAAAAAGAAGTGCAAGGCAAAACTATTTCACAGGTATTATGTAATTGTAGACCTCGTACAAAACCAAATATTTGTAGGTAAGATAACGTATCTATCAAAGTTGAGATGTAATGATAACTTGATTGCCTACTGAAAAAAAATCCAGCTTGATTTATATTAACTCAACACGTTGATCACGTGTCATTATTACGTCAAAAACGATATTACCCGGACTACATTGACGATGAACCTGTTAGACACTTTTTTCAAATTGCATCACATTTATAAGGTTTCAAAATATGTTTTCAAACTCCATTGATTTGAAATAGCTATCTTGAATTAGGAATACTAGTGGAAATATTAATGTTGTTTCCATTTTATGGAGAAAAATGTCGAACTGATAATTTAATTCAATATTTCTTGAAATGTTATCAATAGTATTTTTAAATGTTGGCATTTTTCTTTGGTTTCAACAAGTCTCTTAGGCAAAGCATTTCTTCAACTCAATCGTTTAAATTAAAATATGAACAATTCTTATTAAATGTAGTTTAAGGAATTAGAAGTTAAAAAAAAGTATGAAATATGAAGAACTTTCTTGAACAATTGGAACTAAAACAAATAGTTGAAATCGAAAGTCATTTTAGGCAATTCGTCGCATAACTCTATTCATTTTCACAGGCTTAAGTGTAAATGAATTATCAACACTAAACTTATTTCAGAAACACTTGATAAGCTTAATCACGAATGAAATAAATCCTACTGAACTGAGCTTGATTGGAATACATTTTTTTCAATTGTGTGTTTATTCAGGCTAGCTGCTATGGGGAATGAAAGTCAATATAGACATAACAAAATTTAATGGATTTTCTTATTTTCTCTGTTTTGAAAACACAAAAAATCAAAGAACAGAAGGCGCTGAATTTGTTTGGGTCTCAGAATGTAAGAAAGGTGCAAGTTGTGAGATTATATGTATAGTGCCACCAATGCTTTCCAGCGTTTTAATTGTAGTTAATTGGCTATAAGACTAATTGCAACACTGATATTCAATCCAATGTTTATTTGACTTTAACAATTTGAAAAAAAAGAGTTACCTTTACTGGGATTTGAACTCCAGACCTCTTGCTTCCTAAGCGAGCCCGAAAACCCTTCAGCCACGGTGAATTTATATGTGAACGGCTTGAAGAAAACCATATTATTCTAAATTAGGGCTTGTAACGACTTTAAATGTTGTTTTACACAGATGTAAATAATCCTGGAGCTTACTATAAGCATGTATATTTATAAAGAATCAAAGGTCTGCAAGTTCTGTGGTATTTTCTGATCTTTGCAATATAAATCGTACTGTATATCTGTATGCATTTTCCTGTATAAGTTAATTTTTATGTATTATAATTCATTTTGCAAGGCACCAGAGTTTGATACATACGGAATTCTGCATAACTAGAGTTGCATTAAAAAATCATTTATGTTAATTTTTTACGACAGCCACACTTTATCCTTGCATATCATGGCTACTTTCTTAACAAAGACACTTAACCTTTTCCCTTATATAAGCGTGTTTCGACGGCTTTTTGCACCCCCCCTTTTTTTTGAGGCCTCAAACAGTGAAAAAAAATGCCCTATTTAGGCCCCAAACACTGTATTTCGTTTAATAAATGTTGTTAAAAAAAGTGAGCACTTTTTCGGCGCCGTCCCCCATCCAAATAATACATCAGGGGGGTGCTAGAAGGGGGATGTGCCAAGAAAATTTTGAACATGTGACAGGCTAAAAATGGCCTCAGGTCGATCTTAGGGTAACTAGTAACCGACGCTGAAAAGCCTTGTACTCTATCTCAATTCATTGAGAAGTTGCAGCAAATTTTGAAATAAGTTTTGATGGAAAAAACAATGCATAGAGTGATATTTGGCAATTTTGAGACTTCCCCACGTTGCCATGGTAACAGGAAATTTACCATTGAGCATGCTGTTACAGAGGCTATGGTGTAGTCAACATTTATGCCAAGTTTCATTAGTATTAAAACATTTTTCATAGTTTCATAGCAGTTTGAACTTGTTACAGGAGGCTTTTCAATGAAAACGGCCATTTTTCGCAATATGCTCTTGGGGTAAAAGGTTAAAAAAGAATTTAACAAAAAAAAGTTTCCTCGACTGGGACCTGTTGTTTAAAATTGAAGTAAATATTTTAGCGAAAATCTTCTCGCCCAAACAGTCCGACATGTAGAATCTATATATTCCACTACTCGGTTTGTGTAGTATTCGGTAATCGATATCGCTAAAAATAGTATTTTCATTGATAAAATCATATTCATCCGCGTAATTTGTGATTGTGCATTTATTGACAATTCTTTAAGCCAACGCTATTGTTTAACTTTGAATGCGTTGTAATTTGTTGGATACTTGTAACAAAATAAAATATTTCTTTCTTTTAAATCGCTAGTTTTAAGCTGTTTTGAGAACTACTTGTTGTTAGGTTTGACGTAAACTTCTGTGTCAGAGATTGAATTTCCGCTTTGTATTTACTTCTTTTCGATCAGAAAATACAATAAAACAATATTAGAAATCTTCGACCATTCGGGAATAACTTTGCTTGAAAATTAATGCGCCTGTCTTTGACCATCTTTACGCAGTGATCTCCCCTGAATTTTTCGGCGTTAGTGTACATACAAAAGGGAAGTAACCGCTTCAAAAAAGTGGACTACTTTCGGCATTTGCAATTAACAACATTAGACTCTGAAATTTCGCTACCATTATTTGTTTGGTCTGACGACCAAAACAAATCAAAACTGTAACTATAGGGAAAAGTTTGATGAACTGTTTTAATTATTTCAGTACCGTTCCCTATTGCAATGGTCATGTTCATTTAATTAAGAATCAGAGTTTGCTTCATGTCAGATGAATGTTTGCTCTGCCTTAGAATATTGTAAACGCGGATGTTATCCGTGGTTTGTGCCTCGTTACGAATAATTTACATTTTTTGAATTCGAATAATTCACATTTTTCTACAATTATGCTTCATTGATGTTTGTAATGACAAATTTGATTTTTCATTAAATCTTATTCCATTTGTAAATACATCTTGTAGGCATCGGCCTTAGAATAAGCATAAAGCCATCTCTTGTTTTCTTATAATCATTTAAAGATCAAATTTTGGTTTAAATAAAGATTTTTTCGTTAATTTAGGAAATTATTAAATTAGGAATTCTGTACATACGTTTGTAATAATGTCAGTGTTTGTAATAATGTAACAGACCCAAAACGAGATGGTTTTATAATATTATTCATCTTACTCGTTAAAGAACTGAGACTGCGAGATGTGCTAGAAATGATATTATGCCTCGTGAGTATTTTTCCATTATGATAATGTTATATTGAAAACTATTCTACAAGATTTTTGCTTTAAAAAAATATCATCAAAAGTATTTTACAAGTAAGGTTAATAAAGTTAGATCATCAATATCAAGAAATATAACACTTTTCTTAAATCATCAAGTGTCTATCCGACGTACAAAAATTAATAACTTTTATTTACTTATTTTTATTTAACTAAAAACATTATTTATCTATTGATTAAAAACACATGTATTTTATTTATTTATATTTTTATTTTTTGTTGATTGATTTATCAGATAGTTGATCCTTTGGA